AGGTTTCTCTTTGACTCGAACAAGTGTAGTGGAACATGCAGGGCAACCATGGCCCCTCATTTGGGCACTCTGGTACCTGAAATTAGTTTAGGTTAATTTATATTAATCTGGACTAGAATTTGTTCTCATATCAACAAAGTCAAACTGGATTTATTTAATGTGCCAATGTACATTTGCCACAGAGTTGATCATTTGTGATAACACTATTATCCTGGTATGTCTTTATCTGAGGGAATTATTAAATCTTTGCCTTTCGCAAAAAATACTTCAAAGAAGGTGCACTGTTATAGAGTAATTTTGATCCACTTTGAATCTTTGTTTTCTGGTATTGCTTGTTTTCCACAACAGACTTAGATGACTGGTTTCTCTTGTTGAACTTGGAGCCAAGAGTGGCAGAAATGATAGAAGGCTGTTTATCTAGAAGAATATTTAGTCATATTTCTACTGCTTATTCAACAAGAGATAGCCTTGAGTGAGATTATACTGCAACATTTACTTGAAGCTACATCTATATTAATCAAAAACCAAGAGAGCTGCCCAACTTTCATTCCTTGACAGGAATGGCAGAAAACTTCCTTGCTGTGTTGTGGCATCAATGGGCCAATCAGCACCATGCCAAAGCAGAATTGAGAGCTACTCAAAATTACTACTGTGCTAAATATGTATTGATTTTTGCCTTATATTTCCTGCTACTGGAGTGAACTTAGAAAAGCAAGAGGAAATTTTAGTAAGAGATGTTCAATCACTGTACTGTTCTGAGAGTTGATCAACAATAATACAAAGCAGATTCTTCACTTCTTTTACCATCTCAAGTTGATAATGATTTCAGCAGGATGGGTACACTGCTTTTTGGTTCTGAGTAGTTTGATGCTTGTTTAGCACGGTTGTTTAAGTATAAGTGGGGCAGAGGAATGTGTATTTATACTGGAGAACACAAATTGGAATAGGTGTTCTTTTTTACTATATATACAAATAATGGAATAAGTGTGAACATAATTTGAATCCATTTTTATTGTCTGCTTGCATTGCTTTATGTGCCTTTTGTATTTCTTTCCCCAATAGTTTATCTGTAAAGAGTAAAGGAACTGGTTTGTTATCCTAATGTTAATTCTCTGATGTCTACAGTTCCATACATCTTCTGTATTTAGGATTTTGAGGTGCTCAATGCCCAAAGCATGTGTCCCTATCAGTATGTAACTGCTAGAATACTTGAGTCAGAAAAAACCCCACAAACATTTTGGTATTCAGGCTAGATAAGGCTAGATAGGATAAGGACAATCTTAAACAATTTACAGATGTTACCTTGGAGCCTGGCTGAATTTAGGGTGGATATTTTTTCCTGGTTTCATGATTAGAAAATTGTAATGACTGCCAACCAAGGTCAGGGAGGAGGTAAAAAGTTTCTGATGTTTCTTTACTTGAGCTTCATTTATAATCATTATCTTAAAAGTTCTGAGATGGAAAAGTGGAAACCTGGACTACAGTTCATCAGTGTGAAGTCTTTAAATATAAATACAGATAAAGACATGACTCTTAAGAGTCATTAAGTAATTACAGTACTTTTTGCAAATGGACATTCTGCCATTCAGTCAATGTATTGTAGAACTGTTTGAATTTAATCACTGCAATACAAACATTGCAATGTGCCAGATATTTTATTTCTGCCTAACTGATTTGTGTTTGAGTGCTTGGCTCTTTGTAGAAAACAAAGAATTCCTCCAACCACAAATTCTTGTGATTATGAATAATGCCTTTCTTATATTTGGTGATTGATGAGTTCATTGATAGTTTGAAATAATGAGCTTCAGAATACTGAGTAATGATAAGCTTCTGGTAAGGTGCAGAAGCAGTCTGGGGCTGGGCAAAAGCCTTGCTGTGAAAAAGAAGCCACCACCTTCTCCCTTACTACAGAGTTCTAAGTGTCATATTACGGTTTTTAAACTATTTTTTACTATAACTCAGTGTTGTATATTATAGAGTGGTCCTAAATGTACAAAAATGTACCAAAAAAAAGGTTTGAGAGGTGATCTGATAATCTGTGTTTTTAACTGGTGTTTGGATAGGATGCCAGTTTGGATGGTAAAGGCAACACCAGTTGAAAGAGCTTTTGTTTTTCAGATTGCTGTGTCTTACTAAGGGGTTATAAGCAAGGGCCTGCAAATCTCAGCACGCATTGTAAATGTTTTTCCCCCAGGACTGGGAGCGACTGAATTTCCATTCATTTCACAGTTTCAAAGATGCTAAAGCTGAACAGTGGGTCATGAAAATCTTTTGTAATTCAGGCAATAGACACATTACTTCATATCATTACTAAGACTCATAATTCTTGATAGAAATAGAACCTTCCTTTGCCCATTTACTCAGTGCTATCTTACTTCAATCTTCCAGAGAAAAGAACTTTCACATAATTTCAAGTTTTCATCCTCTCTTTAGCTTTCAGTCTTATGATCTTACTGTGCCTTTATCTCTGAAGAATTGACTGGTGTCAGAGGTCACAGTTTAGTTCTCTAACAGATGTCTACACCTGCTTTTGATAGGCTCTGTAGTGTGAACTTACAATGAAGATGGATGATGTGACCTGTGTTTTCCAGTCTTTGAGCTACTTGTGAGATGTTAACGTTCTCTGAGGTCGTCTATCTTACATAAATAAAAAGTAAAAAGCTATGTACAGCATTTTAGCAGAAGACATAAAGATGGACTCAGAAGAACTGTCATTGGTGTCCCCAAACAATGGATTACCTGAACACCCCACCTCAGAAATAAGGTGCATATCCATTTATGATGACATATTTGTATACATCATTTGATCAACAACACAGGGTACAAACCAGTTCCTGCAGGGTCAGACTGATTGGACTGTAATTTGTTACTAAGTGTGACATTTAATTCATTAACATGACTGTGGTGGTAGTACAACAACTTTTTTAGCAGTTACACTGTTGTGGGTTACTTGTGAGGCTACTTACATAGCCTAATACATGTAATCCTAATGCATCAATATAGCTCCTTCTGTCAGCTGAACACATAAATTTATTAGGGTAATATGTAGTGTAGTTGTGCAGGTATAATTTCAGTGAAATTATTCTAAGTAATACTACCTTATATCCCCACTATATCAGCCTATATCAGTCGTCCACTCAGGTTTAGGGGGAGAGGTATGTGACCTTAAGAGCCCTGCAAGCCTGCAATTACTTTTGTCAGCTTTTCTCTCTGCTCTGGTTCGCCCCCAATTCCTGGAACTTGCCCAGTTTTTAAGGGTTTATTAAAAATAAAAAATAAAAATAAATAAATGAACAGCCCAAAAATACCTTTTTCAGGCCACAAATTTACTTGGATCTTTCAGTTGCTTAATACAAGCATCTGAGAGGATGAGCCTTCTGCTAAGAGTATGAAAAATGTGTTTTTTAGAATGGTTTGGTTACTCATTTAAACTCTCTGCCCTGGATATATAAGGACAAAGGCAAGGGCTGCTCCACAGGGCATGGAAGCTCACTCTGCCATTGCATGTCCAGAGGCCAGAGTGTCTCATCACACCCTTCCTTGTAATGCTGTACCTTGGACCAGCTTAGAATAGTATCAATAATTATTGTAAGAAATAATAATATAAGTAATATTAAATCATTAATATAGCTGGCTATGCTGCTAAAATAGCAAGAAGATATAGGGTTTAGAAAGTCTAAGAATAGCCAGGAGGAAAGAAGGGGCTAAGAAGGAAGCAAATAATTTTTGTTAATGAATGACATATAGTATTTCTCAGGTCTTAAAATAACATCTAATTGTAAAAAAAACCAACCAAACAAAAAAACCCCAAACAAACAAACAAACAAACAAACAAACAAAAAACCCCCAAAACAAAACAGAAAAGAAATATCATTTGTCCCAAATCAGAATGAACTTGTAGTTCCATCCCCAGCACTTCAGCTGGCCCTTCAGAGCTGCAGTAGGGCACACAGAGATTTCTACACAGCACTAAGGAACAAAGCCTCCTTCAGAGCAGCTTAATTTTCTTTAAGGCCTTTGTAAACTCAAGTATTATGCAGCAAAACATTTTATACTGAATAATGCAAAACCAGAAACAACTAAACTGTACTTGTATGCTGAGGTTGGTTGTATGCTGACCCCGAGGAAGAGGACTGAGTCAGATTTAATCATAGCACAGCAACTACAGAGTGGAGAAATGTGGCTGACAAGCCACTCGGATCTAGGAGGTAATGAAACTTTATATGGTTTAGGGATAAAAAGATAATGTTTAGGATGTCTGAGACCCAGACCCTTAAAAATTATCTGGAAAATGTGAGTGTTTACACAAAGTCCAAATTACGTTGTCAAAGCCAAATTAAGAACATACAAACTTCCATAGACTCAAGTTGCTGTCTTCAAAGAATGAGAGGGAAGCTTCACAGTGTATTGGGTTTGCATGGCCTGGTTTTTGGTAGCAGGGAGCCACAGGGGTGGCTTCTGTGAGAAACTGCTGGAAGCTTCTATCATGTCAGGCAGAACCAATTCCTAATGCCTCCAAAGATTGACATGCTGGGCCAATTGGAAATGGTGTAAGACCTCTGTGATAATAGATTTAAGAAGAAATCAAAACAAAGTTGTGGTGCAGTTTTAATTCCAGACAGAGAAAAGCAGGGTGAGAACATATGAGGGAAAAAGCATGGAGACACCAAGGTCAGTGCAGAAGGAGGAGGAGGAGGTGCTCCAGGCGCTGGAGCCAAGATTCCTCTCCAGCCTGTGGTGAGACCATGGTGAGGCAGCTGTGCCCCTGCAGCCCATGGGGATCCATGGGGGATGCAGATCTACCCACAGCCCGTGGGAATCCATGGGGGAATACAGAGATCCACCCACAGCCCGTGGGAATCCATGGGGGAATACAGAGATCCACCCACAGCCCGTGGGAATTCATGGGGGATACAGAGATCCACCCACAGCCCGTGGGAATCCATGGGGGATGCAGAGATGCACCCAGATCCCTTGCGGAGGTGCCCATGCCAGAGCAGGTGATACCTGGAGGAGGCTGTGATCCTGTGGGAAACCTAGTGAAGAGGAGGGCCCTGCTTCCATGCTGGAACAGCCTGTCCTTGGAGGACTGCACCCTTATGGAAGAGTGACCCATACTGCAGCCGTTTGAGGGAGACTGTTGCCCATGAAATGGATCCACATTGGAGAAGTTTATGGAGAACTGTCTCCAGTGGGAGGGACCCCTTGGTGCAGCAGGGAAAGGACTCCTCTCCCTGAGCAGTGGGGCAAACCTATGGGTGACCATAACCCCATTCCTTGTCTTCTTGTGCTGCTGGGTTAGGAGGTAGAGCTGAGAAGGAAGAGTGGAAAGTGTTTTTAAGGGCTTATTTTGCTTCTCATTATCCCGGTCTGATTTTGTTAGCAATAAATTCATTTCATAACTCTAAGTTGAGCCTGTTTTGCCCATGATGCTATTTGATGAGCAATCTCTCCCATGAATCCTTCATTAAATTTTCTCCTCTCTGTCCAGCTGCAGAGGAGTGAGTGAATGAGTGAGTGAGTGAGTGAGTGAGTGAGTGAGTGAGTGAGTGAGTGAGTGAGTGAGTGAGTGGCTTTTGTGGGTGCCTGGCATCCAGCCAGAGTCAATTCAAGACACATGGTCATTAACAAAAGTAACTGTGCTAGCAGATGGAAGTGACCAAAAATATCCAGCTTGTTTCACAAGCTCCACACCTTTCAGGAAAACTGCATTTCCCTAATGCATCAAAATTGCTTCTAAAGTCCTCTGTCAAATGGCATCAAATTCCATCCTCTGGAGTGCATAGCCCATAATGTTGCCAATGACGTAACTCCCATTAGAGGATGATGTGGTGAAGCTTGAAGTCATCAAGAATTGGAGAGTGCTTTTTACCTTTTATTTTCTTGCTGAGATCCTTTCTAATGAGAAATGTTCCTTCTGATTTGTGTGGATGCAGTTTCTAGGTGTTCATACCATGCTGTTATCCACAATATGGAGCTGCACAAGAGTCTCTGTTTCACTGCACACAATCTGAAAGGCTCAGAATGAGAACTGTGTGCTTGATCTCTGCTCCTCTACCAATGATGGGGCTCAAAGCCCCATCCAACCTGGCCTTGAACACTTACAGGGATTGGGCATCCACAGCTTTTCTAGGCAACGTCTTCCAGTTCCTCACCACCCTCACAGTAAAGAATTTCTTCTCATTATCTGGTCTAAACCTGCTCTCTTGCAGTTTACTTCCCCTGCTTTATTTATCCTCCACTTCTTTATCAGGTAAAATATTTTTATTCAAGATTTTCAGCTATTTTTCTAGCATTGCTGGCAAGACACTTTTTGATTTTTGATTTTATGAGGATTTTGTAGTTTATGGGGAGCTGGTTTTCTTGTTTTTGTTTTTTGTTTGTTTGGGTTGGTTTGGGTTTTTTTAAGTGAAAAACACTATTTCTGTCTTCTGGAATTGTCATTTTATTGCAGTTTTTATTAAAACAGAACATCTTCATGTTACAGTTACTGCATTTTTTGAATTCTTGTCCAGACAAGAAGATGCAAATCCAGTGTAAATATTTTCTAATATTTAGCCTAAAATATAAATCTGTATGGAGTTGAATGTAAAGCTCTGTTTTATGAGTGTACTCTAAAGTAACCATTACAGAAACGAAACCTTATCTTTCCTGTTTTGGACAAGCATTATGTACTTATGGACAACTTAGCAGAAGCTGGCATCTTTATTACTCTGAGAAAGAAATGTAGGCAAATAAATAAATATAAATTCAGGTCATTAAATTTGTTAGGAATACAGAAATATTTTTATTTCAAAACCAGATTATTTTTTAATCCATCAATTTTACTTTGGATATCAAAAGGAATAATCCACAATAATAGTGATTGAAAAGCCTATTTTTTTTTTATTTTTGGACCTTCCACTCTTCAGAGATGTAGAATTTTGTGTATTACTGACTGTTAGTAGTTCAGTGAAAATAAATGAAAAGTAACTTCAATTACTAGAAAAATCTTTGGGGTTTTTTTTGGGTTTTTTTTTAAAGTTGAATCTATTCCAAAACTCAAATTTTAGTTTTCTGGAATAAATTTGCAGAAGGTACATTTTGAAATATAATCAGTTGGGGAGAAGGAAAAAAAAAATCCAAAACAAACCCACATTTGTTTTAAATACACTTTGGATCGAAGAGGTCATTCAGCTGTAGCTATTAAATGAAATCTGTGTCTGTGTTTAATTTAGTTTCACTGGCATTTATCAAGTACTTGATATAGTTGTACAGCATCTAACTTTGTACTTTGGAAACACCAAGTCTACTTGAAATAATTAAAGTCTATTTAAGAATGGGATTTTGTGATAGAATGTGATTGGGAGGAATATATTACAGTACATTCAGCCTCTGTTACCAAATAAACTGAAATGCTTTTGTCAAGTGCTCTACTTCACTAAGTTCTCATGTAATCACTGTGTTCAAAAGGAGGAAGAAAGGTAGTAAACTTCTCTAAATATAGTCCTGTTTTCTCTGTGTGGTATTTTCAAGCACTTTATTGAATTCCATACTATGTTGAAGCCTTGAGAGTCCATAGCTCATGATACACATGTGCTCATAGTCCTTCAGCTACTTCTGTGGGCATAGAAGAAGGGTTATTAGTGTTTGATTATGTATAGTTTCAGTTTTAGAAGATGAGTTATGTTTTAACCATAGATGAACCACAAAAAGCATTTTTGCACATGATATGAGTGGATGTTGCATATGAATGAATAAATTAGATAGTTATTCTGCAGCCAGATGAATCAAATATATCCCTCAACAGCTGGTGATGAGACATGAAGATCCATTAACAACTAATTCTTTTGTCTATCACAGATAGTTTTTGTTTAATATTAAAATCCCCTGTTTAATGTTGATTAAGTTACTCTTCAATTCACTATCCTTGTCAAGATAAAAGTAAAAATTCAGTGTAAGAATTAAAATGAGGCACCTTTTGGGATATTTAAATCCTCAAAAAATAGTCCAAGCTTCTGACCACAACTACAGTCTTACTTATTGTTCTTGAAGACTGGATTTGTGTAAATTATTTTTAACTTCTTTTGTTGTGGTGATATATGCCCCTATGGAAACAATTTATGAATTTGTGTTAATCCTCAAATAGATTTGGCTGAAATAATTTCTGAAAAGAGTAGACACCTTAGAAAAGATGAATCATGCCAATTCAGTGCTTCAATATATGTTTCAGCTTTTCATTCTGAAAGAATGTTTTGAAACCAAACAAAATTTTAAAGGCTTTTAGAAATTAATAAGTAACTGAAGAATACAGTGAATAATCTTATTGACTGAAAGTAGGATAAAAAATGTTGGTATTTTACCATTTTATTTCACTGACTACTGGAATTTCCATTTGGAGTTAACTAGAGCTTCTTTTTCGTCATCTTGCTTTGGTTTGGCTGTCTGTATAAGCCCATTATTTACATACTGCTGGGTTGTTGAGTCTTATCACCAGCTTCTGACATATGGCCATTGGAAGCTTTCTTGTTTATAAACTCTATCTTCAAAATGGCTTAGGTTTTTTTCACTTCTTATTCCCACTGGGCATTTTCAACTTTGATTAGAAATTTTATTTTCAGGCTTAATTTTCATAGACAATTTTGATCACACAGTTTATATAACGTGATAGTGTTGAATACTGGTTAAATACCTCTTCTGCATGATTATCTCAATCACTTAAAAAAAAAATCAACCTAGAAAGCTTGCAGCTGTTGCTTTGATTGGCTAAACAAGCCAACCTCTTTCATTTTCATCCTCTGTTGAATCGACTTCCACAACTTTTTCATTCAGTTGGGTTTTCTTGCTTCAGCTTAATTTCTCTTTCTTGAGCAGTGGTCAAAGCAGTACATGGTATACAGGATGTCGTTTCCAGACAGTGCTGCTAATAATGCCTTGTCTATATTGGAAATATTACATCTATTAAAACTCAAGGTCATGTTTTACATTTTTTCCACAGCAACCTGACACTGATGGTTCTTAGCCATTGGTGATCCACCCATATGCCTCTTTTTTCTCCTCTTCTATTTCAGTTGAATAGCCTGAGCTTAAAGCCAAAATTATTAATAGGATGTAGTCTTCTGGAACTTGTAGCTAGATCCTGTTCAGTAGCTGGATATTTCTGAATTGGTACTGCCATATGTCTTCTCTTTGGGAAATTGCTACTTTCAGAACTCTAAAAGAAACCTCTGGATTTACAGTTTTCATCTGTCTAATTCCAGACAGTTTTAATATATTTCCCATCTCCATTATTTTCTTAATATATGTCCCTCCCAGATGTGTTCTGGATACTTGCAAAATCCTGAAGTCCTTTGCTCCGACTCACACTTCACCATGCTCTCGACAGGACTGGTATTATTAAATGTCTATATGCAGCTATATATTCAATTCAGGTGCCATTTCTCAGGTTTTTTATAAAGGTCGCCAAAAGCTGCTTTTTCTACCACAACAAGGGTGTCAAACTTTGCAATGCCTTCCAGTACAGATGTCATAGTTTATGGATATATTTGCAATTTTCTACTAGTCATGAAATCTTTTACCTTCTGTTCTTTAAAAAAAAAAAAAAAAAAAAAAGGAAAACATGTAAAATAAGCTTTTGGCACACCTTAAATTATTCAACACTGAGCTCCTTATGTTATCTCTTTCAAATGCTCTTTGTCATCCTAGTTTTGTTTGAGTCTGATCAAGTATTTCTGTAGTGGTGTCACAAGACCCCTCTCATCATGTAAGATACAAATTCCAAAAGTTTTAAATCTTTAGCCTAAACAAATTCTACATCCCTACTCTGTGTTCTCACCTCTTTCATGTCTCTTCTCAGTTCAGAACAGATTTTCTCACTCATGTCTTTCTTATATTTCAACTTCTGTCAGAAAACACTTTAAAGACTTCCAAATTACACAATTCAGTTACAGTGTCTTAATGTACTCCTTCACAAGCTGT